TGGGGGTCTTTGGGGTCGCGTGGGCACCGGCGGTAGGGGGGGGGCCCCCCCTCCCGAGCATCACACCGGGCACCGGGGGGCATCCCCCTATGCCGGGTACTGGGGTGTGTCCCCCTCCCGAGCATCACACCGGGCACCGGGGTTTGTCCCCCCCCCATCCCGAGCATCACCTGGGTACCACCCAGGAGCTCTGTGTGTCCCCCGTGGGGATTGGGGACCAGGGTGACATCCCAGCACAGCAGCACCCAGGTGTCCTGCAGCGCTGAGCCCGGGGCAGGATACAGCCCTAGTGTGACTTCAACCCCCCTAGATGTCCCCAAGGCCACTGAGCCCCAGGGTGACAGCGATGGCCCCCGCCGGGGCTCCCTCTGCGACCGGCACTGTGCCACCATCAACAACGTGCAGGGTGACCTGGGTGACCTGGGCTGCCACGTGCACCGTCCCCGTGTCCCCCCAGGTAGGTCGGCCGTGGGATGAGCTGGACGCAGGGCAGCGGGGTGGGGGGGGAATCCCACACCCCTTGTCACCCTCCGTCTCGCCCACAGCCCTGTCTCCCCCGTCCTGCTGCCAGCAGCACTCGGACGAGGTCTGCGAGAGCTGCATGGTGAAAACCACCCTGATGGCCGAAAACGTCGTGGAGGCCAACAAGCTCTCCAACAACTATAAGGTGGGTGCCTGTGGCATGCGTGGGGGCACCCAGGGGTGCTCCTGGGTGGCTGTAATGGGTTTTCTTTTTCTCATCCCACCCTCCAAAAAATAATAATAATAATTAAAAAAAAAAAATCTTGCTGCAGTTTGGCTTCAAGAAATGGAAGAGCCACGTGACGGCGCGGCCCTGGGAGGACCGATCGGAGATCGTCAAGGAGCTCTACTCTGACCTCAACGTCATCCGGGGCTCTGGAGGTGGGTGGCCCTGGGGACAACCCTCTGCGGTGGCAGTGTGGGTTTGGGCTGTTGCAGGTGATAATGGTCCCATCCGGTGCCTCCTGTCCCGCAGGGTCCACGGTGACGTGTGGAAACATCCTCTACCTGCTGCTCTTCGGCTGGTGGCTCTCGCTCCTCTATGTCCTTGTGGCTGCCACGATGTTTGTCACCATTGTGGGGGGTTCTTATGGTGAGTCCCAAATTTGGGATCCCCATGTGAAGGGCTGGGTGAGCCGTGGGTCTCCTGGCTGAGCCTGAGACGGCACTGATGGGTGCTGGCATCTCTTGAGTCCCTTCCCTGCAGGGTGGCCCTGTAGCTGGAGGGGACATGTGTGTCCCCCAACAGAGCTGATGCTCGTGTCCCCACAGGGTGGCTCTGCTGGGACCTGGCTGGGTATTTCCTCTGGCCCTTTGGCAAAGTGATCCAGAAAGTGGAGGTAACGGCGTGCCCCGAATTGGGACCCCACTGGGGGGATAAACTGCGGTGTCCCATGCCGCACCCTGACACCCCCCACCCCGTCTCCCCCAGGTCCCCAAATCCCACCGGGCGCTGGGCACATGCGAGGCCGGCACAGAGGCAAGCAGCGCGGGGGAGAGCTCAGCCCTGCTCGGTGGTCCCGTGCCGCGTCGCTGGCGCCCATGGTGCTGGGCAGATGCCAAATACTGGGTGAGCTCCATGCTGGGCATGGTGACACCCCCCTCCTGAGCCTGGGCACCCCAGGAGCCCCCCATCGTGGTGGGGATAGCACCCATGGGTGCCTCCACTCCGCTGGGGTGGGTGTTTTGGGGGGAGCAAACCCTAAAGGTAGTTACCCATTTGCAGCAGCGTGCCGGCGCTGTGGCGTGGCTGAGCCTGGGCTACCCGGCGCTGGTGCTGGCCCACGGGCTAGTGTGCGTGACCGCGTGGCTCCTCATCGTCCTCATCCCTGTGGCCAAGCTGAGCGCCCGCACTGCTGCCCGCGTCCTGCTGCTGCCCCCGGAGCGGGTGCTCGTCCGGCGCCTGAGAATGGTGGGTGCCTCTGTGTGGGGGTGAGGGTCCCGCACCCCGCTCCGGAGTGGATTTTGGGGGGGGGGGGGATGCTCAGGGCAGTGTCACCCACTTGTCCCTCTGCAGACGGAGGTGCCGCTGGAGGGGGAGGTGATACTCTGCTGCTACCGTGCCGTCAACCCCTACTACTACAAATACGCCGTGGACGGCATCAACGTCTTTGCTGTCAGTATCCTTTTGTGGACTGGAGTGGGGACGGTGGGGGGGGCTGACCCCAAATCCCACCCCACCTCGGTCATCTCCTTGACCAGCTACCCCAGACCTGCTGCCGCTGGTGCTGGTGACACTGGTGCTGGGTTATGTGGACAGCCACAACCATTTGACCAGTTCCCCCATCAAGTTCACGTTGGCCCTGCTCTCCATCATGCCTCTGTCCTACTACATCGGGATGGCCATTGCCAGGTGAGCGGTGGCAGGAGGGATGCTTGGGGGCAAGGTGGGGACACGTGCCAGCCCCGCTGACGCCCCCCTTCTCCTCCAGCATCTCGGCCCAGAGCAACTTTGCGGTGGGAGCGGTGGTGAACGCCACGTTCGGCTCCATCACGGAGCTGACCTTCTACATCACAGCCCTCATCAAGGGCTCGCGTGAGGGCAACCGCTGCTACGCCGAGATCGTCAAGTCAGCGTTGACGGGGACGCTGGTGGGCTGCGTCCTCTTTGTCCCGGTGAGATGGGGCGGCACGCTCATGGCGTGAGAGCGCCCGGTCTCGGCAGAGAGCCAGGAGGATGCTGTGAGCAAAGCACCGATGGGGATTTTTTGGGGGGCGGGGGGGCTTTCTCCATCCCCAAGGGTCTGTGCATGGTGATTGGGGGCATCCGGCACCAGGAGCAACGGTTCAACAGTCGCTCGGCGGGCGTCAGCTCGGCTCTGCTCTTCCTTTCTGTGGGAGGTGAGTTGGCGATGGGGGTGTCCCCAGGTTTGGGGGAGGGGGGTCCCACGAGCATGGGTGCCCACCCCATGTCCCTCCATCCCCGCAGGCGTCTTTGCCCCGACGCTTTTCTCCAAGGTGTACGGGAAGCTGGTGTGCGGTGAGTGCCACAACGTCACCCAGAACCCGCTGGGCCACTACCTCTGCCACAATTGTCACTTTGACCTGGTGAGTGGGGACGTGGACCCCTGACCGCTGGGGTTTGGGGTTGGGGATGCTCTGAGCCCACCTGGCTCCTGCTCTCATGCTGGTGGCAGTGGGACTGTCCCTTGTCCCCGGCATCCCCATTGACAGGCACTCTCTTTCTGCAGATGGAGAACAACGGCACCCTCTACTACAGCCACGTCCAGTGAGTGTCCGCTGGGGTGGGGACAGGGTTGTCCCCACGTTGGGGTGGCATCTCCTGGGCTTGGTCATGGTCCTGCATCCCTCCCAGGTCCCCTCTCAGCCCCCAGTGAAGGGCTCTGATCCAGCACCCCACCTTCTCCATGCCCAGGGGACCACCCCGGGGTCTCCATGCCAGACCCTGGTGGCACTGAGCACATGTCACCCATATCCCACAGACCCCTGGTGTACACGGTGTCCCTCCTGCTCCCTGCCGCCTACCTTATCGGCCTCTTCTTCACCCTGAAAACTCACTCGCACATCTACGACATCCACATCAGCGACTGTCACAGTGAGTGTCCCCAAACCGCAGGATGCCCCGGCTGTGGGGCTGGCTCTTCTCACCACCCCAGAGCATCCCACCGCCTCTCTGCTCTTCCCCCAGTGCCTGGCCACCACCACAGTGCTGTGGTCCACTGGTCTCGTTGGCGGGCCCTGGTCATCCTCCTGCTCTCCACCCTCTGCATGTCAGCCTGTGCTGACCTGGCCACGGAGCACATCAGCCCCATCCTCACCAACTCCACCATCTCACAGGTGAGCGTGGGGACAGGGATGGTAGTGACCCGGGTTTGGGTGGCCCTGGGGATCAAGATGTGCCCTCCAGGGATGGGAACCTGCCCTGCCTGCGGGGTTCAGCCTCAAAAGCTGGGGGAAAGATGTTGAGATGCTCCACACGCTGAGGAGCTTGGTTGCCCACAGCTTGGATGTGGTCAGGATCAGGCCATATGCGTGCGCTGATGTCACCTCTTCCCCGCAGTACTTCATCGGTGTCACTGTACTGGCGATGGTGCCTGAGCTGCCAGAGATCGTCAATGGCATCCAGTTTGCCCTGCAGAACAACCTGAGCTTGAGGTGAGATGGCTCAAAAGGATGGGTTTTGGGGTGTCCTCCTCCAGCGTGGTCCCTGTGCCCTGTCCCAGTCCCATAGCTGTGCCTTGGTGCCAGTGATGGGCTGCCCAGCTTCATGCCACTGGTGGGTCCCATCCCTGCCAACTTGCCCTCAGGGGGACTTAAAGCCACCCAAAAAATGGGGCCAGAACCAGGTTGGGCTGCATGATTTGGCTCCCCAAGGTGGGGGGTTTTTTAACTCACCCTGAGCTGAGCGACCTAAGGGCTGCTGGAGACCTGGTGCTTGGCAGCTCTTAAGTCCTCTGTCCTCCCCAGCATTGAGATTGGGAACTGCATCGCCGTCCAGGTCTGCATGCTCCAGATCCCCATCCTGGTGCTCTTCACCATCTTCTATGTGAGTACCCCCAGGACAGCCCCTGGGTGACCTCCCACAGCAGGGTTGGGGACATGCAGCACTCCTACTCCTACTCCATGAGACATGGCAAAGGCACAGCCACCATCCCCAGTGTCTCCTCTCCTCTGCTCGGTGCAGGGGAAGATGGGGTCAGATGTCTCCTACCTTGGCTGATGCTGTCCCCAGCCATAGGGACATGTGGCAAAGGGGGCTCAAGGGGTGACGTGCACGTCTCCAACCGCAGTTGGTGCAGGGCTATCCTGGTTGGCCATAAATCCAAAATCCTCTCTGCCTTGCAGCCGACCAACTTCACGCTTGTCTTCAGTGACCTCCACGTCTACGCCAGCATGTTCAGCGTGGTGCTCATGAACTACATCTTCATGGATGGCAAATGTGACTACTTCCAAGGTGACTGCTCGCCCATGAGGCTGCTGTGGGACTTGGTGTACCCACATTCCCTGTGCTGATGGGGTGGGGGGCTCCTGGAGTCAGCTGCTTGCTGCAGCTCTTGGCCTGTGGTGGCTTGCGCAATTCTGGGGTCTTGGTTGACCATCTTGGAGGTGCTGGAGCTGCCACCCTGTAGCAGTTCCAAGGAGGATCACTCCCTCTTCACCCTTAATAGGGAGTTTAAACCCCTTTTAATTAAGATTTTGCAGAGGACCATGAGAGTCCTCTACAGCGGGCTAATCTAGACCACACCAGGTCTTAAAAGCAACCTCCCTCCTTGCTCCAGGGAGTAACCCCCTCCAACCTGCTCTGTCTGCCCTAGGCACGGTGCTGGTGATGGTCTACTTCATCCTCCTGGCTGTGTATTTCTTCGCCCCATCGCCCAGTGGTTGCTGAGGTTTGGACTCTGCTTTCTCCAACCCTCCAGTTGGGTTCAGCCCTTGTCAGGGCGTTATCTGGTGTCTCAGGGACTCGGCCGGGCTGGCTCCGGTCTGGAAACATCATTTGCTGAAGCTCCTGCTGCTGCCTGGCTCCCCCAGTGGGGTGCCACGGGGCTTCAGTGATGGGAAGGGTGGTGGCAACAGAAGCACTCATGAACCAAGAAGGAGCCTCAATGCCAGAGCACTTTACAGAGGTATTTCCAGCCCACGTCTGTGTGGTTGGAAGGAAAACTGTCCTTAGAGGAGGGTCTTGAAGGGGGTTTCTGTGTGGTCTCAAGGACAGACCCCTCCCTTGGGATGTATTGCACTGGGAGAAGGTGCCCGAGAAGATCCTCACCCTTCCAGGCAATGGGTGATCCTGGGCCTGGAAGGGACTTGCGTCTGGGGATCACACAGGGCTTCTTGATTGTACTAGAAATGCACCAAAAGGTATTTTTCAGCTGTTTTGTCATTAAAGCAGTTTGTACAAACCCAGAAACAAGCTCGTTTCTCCTTAAACGAGCCTTTGGTCCCTGTCTGAGCCCCTCTGTGCCACTGACCTGGGTCAGTGATGGTCTTGGCGTGATGGCTACTTGGTGGCCACCAAGGCTGGCTCTCAGTGGTGTGGGTGTTGGGCACCAGCGATGGCTCAGTTGGAGCCAGCATCCCTAGGAGCGGAGCACGACAGCACTTAATGTCCTCTGTCACAGCACCGGAGCAGGTGGCAGGGGAGATCCACCACTGTGCCACAGGGACAGGGCCAGCAGTGGGGTGGCTGTGGGCTCCAGCTTTCTCTGTGACACTCCCTAAGCTCCAGCTCTTGTTTTCAGCCTGGTTTTGTCTGACTGTCTTAGGTCATCCTTGCTCAGAGGTCTTTTAACAGGCTCCTAAGAAGGGTCAGGGATGCTCCTGGTGCCGTTCGCAGGGTACGAGGTGTGACGTGCCGGGGACCGGCTCATCTCCCTCTGTAAAGGGAAACACCAGCAGGTGAGGTGAGAGGACAACGTGGGTGGCTTGGACTGATTTATTATCAGAGCTTAAAAAAATCACAAAACAAAGCAAAACAAAAACCCAACCCAAAAGCAAAACACTGACAGATACAGAAATACAGGCAATGTGGCTCCTGTGCCCCTTCTCCATCCCCAGCCCTGCAGGGACGTACTTCGGCATAAAAACCGGGGACAGGAGCGCTGCCTGTGATGTGAGTGTTGGACTCCAAAGAGTCTCACAGTCAACGGAGAAGCAGGACTAGACTGTAAACAGCCCACAGTAAGGCAGGCAGCAGCCTGGGATCCCCCTCCTTCCCAAAGGAGGGCAGCTGCTCGTTAGCAATTAATAATGCTGCTTTATCAAGCTTTTCTTTGTTTTCCTACTATAGCATTGGTATGGACAATCCTGCTGTTGTTCATACAGACATTTGGGAAGATTCCTGGGCAAGTACCCAGAGTTGGCTGATGGCTGCAGCTGGGCTCGATGGCACAGGGCAGTAAGAGATGGAAAAGGAGTAGGATGGGAGGGCAGAAGATGATGGCACCGAGCAGGTTCTACATCTTACCTGAGGCTAAACAGACAACATCTACCCTGGGGTGAGGGATGCTTGGGACTTCTGGAGCCAGATCCAGCCTTTGTGTTTGGGAAAGCGTGGTAGGGCCAGCACTGCGGGTCCCTTCCCTAGTGCCCTGCTTTGCAGCAGGACAAGCCCAGCAGTAAGTAGCTGCTGGTGGCTGCAAGGATGCCCCGAAAAGGTCCCACATCACCCTGAGCTGCCCTACTTGGTGCTGGGAGCAGGGGAAATGTTGCAGGATGAAGGCAGCAGGGCTGTCCCACAAAACCCTGTTCTGAGATGGCTTTCTCTCTCGGTGTGCCCTGTTCCCATCCCAGGCAGCATCACAGATCCTCTTCCCTCCATCAGCTGCTGAATCCTTTCCCTCTCCCTTCAGGAACTGGCCCTGCCCTGGCAGAAGCAGTGACACTCTGCCCTTTTGCTTGAGTATGGTATTGCACAGAGTGGAGTTGAGTTAACTTGCCCTTAAAAAGGAGGAACTAGTACTTGGGCTAGAGGTGAAGACAAGCAGGAGATGGAGCAAGAAAAGCCTGGAGCTGCTCAGCCTTCAAGCTGTAGCCCAGAGTGAAGCCTCTGCCACCATAAGCCAGGGAGAAGCTTTTATCATTCAAATATTCAATGTGCAGTAGACTAGCAGCAACTCAAGCAAACCCTCAAAAGGGAGCTGTGAGCTTTGCAGTGCTTAAAACAAGGAATTTTTTTAGGAAGAGCAGCATCCAAGCTCTTGTGCCCATGATGCAGCAGCAACCCCAGTTTACTGGGAGAGGAGCAGCCTCCTAACTCCCATCACTGGACAATGCCTGTATTTTCTGCTTTTCTCTTTCTGTAGTACTCTTGGCCGTGCTCCTGTAAGTTGTGTGTGCTGGGGATGCAGCGTAGCTGTGTTAGAAGGGTGAAACCAGTTCCAGGCCATTGGTGGAGGGGACAGGCAGGCTCTGGGCTTGGACCTTCAGTGGTCCAGCCAGTGGAAGGGGCTTGGGCACTTGGGTTTGGGTGACCTAGCGGTGACTTCTTGATGTCCCTGTGACACACCGACTGTACCATCCTGCCTGGGTGGTTGAACATGTTCCATGTCAAGATTTGAAGCTAAGATTAAGTGACAGTGTTACAGGTGTCAGTATGGAGCCAGGCTGTGCCCACGTGTGCCCCAGATCAACACCCACCACCCTTCCTCTTCTGTGTGGTCACATTGGGGGAAAGCTCCTGGCTGCCCCCATAAGGCTGCTGGAGCAAGGAAGACATTAGAGCTCAAGGAATCTGCTTGAGCAGAGATCCAGGCTTGGATGGTTTTAATATTGCCTTGGCGATGATGGGAGATGCGCTTTGAAGTAGGTAAAGGAAGAACCAGCACATGTATGACCAGGCTGTTCCAGCACGAAGGTCCCAGTGGAACTGGAGGCCAGAAGGCAAAGATGAAGCGCAGACATTCAGCCTCTGCAAGAGGTGAGAGCCACCGAGTTCAGGCCAGAAGAGGGAGCTGGAGAAAAGGCCCACTGGCCCAACCTGGTCCTGCAGAAGAGGACATCTCAAGCCAAGGGCAGGAGAGCAGGTAGCCCTTCCCCAGCTCACAGCTGCCAGCAGGGTCTGGGTTCAGCTCCTGAACTGCTCCAGCAAGCAGTCAGGGAGGCTTGGAAGGGGGTTGAAATAAGGTGATACTGCTCTCCAAGAGCAAAGGCTTTCTGTCCCATAGGCTCTTCGCTAGAAGCCAGCCTAAACATAGAGGGGGGAACAGCAAAAGCCATATAGTGCACTGGAGGGCCCCAGCTTGGCCCTGTGAGCTGCAAGTCCTGCAAGGGTATGAAGGGGGCATATGATAGATACAACAGATTGGTGGCAGCTGCCACCAGTTTCTGTGGTCAAAAGCACCAGAGAATGCTTCAGCTATGATTCCCAATCTTTATTTTTCTGGGCCTTGACAAAAAAAAAAAAAAAAAAAAAAAGGCAGCAACTGAGGCTACAGAAGGGGGGGAAAAAAAATCTATCCCCAGGAAGAGGGGAAGCTTAACTTTGGGGCAAATGTTAACACTTCAACTGAACATCAGGGGTAGGTGCTCCCTAAGAGGGGTAGCAGTGACTCAATCAGCCAGCGCTGTTCAGATTAACAATGTGAATACAATGCTATGGTTTATTTAAACATAATAAATGCAATCTCTTAAAAAGAAACTAAAACCCCACAGTCTAACCCTTGCCTTTGATGATGGAAGAGGAAGGTACTAGGAAAAGCTGATTTAAAAAAAAAGGCACTTAAAAAATGGTCTTCAAATAAAAAGAATTTTGCACAAACTTGATGCCAGCCCACTGGAGCTGCTCAGAGTTTGATGGCCACTTACACATGGTCTCTGGAGCAAATTTCACAGTATATCAAGCACAGCAAGACAAGAGATAGACAGACATCCCTTCCTCTCCTGCCTGTGCAGAGATGACCACTGCTCACAGCAAGAGGGAGAGATGTTCCCTCTCTCCTTTTCTTGAGGCTGTGTTTCCTGGGATGAGTGATCCATGAGTTTCCAAGGATCCATATTAAAACCACATGCAGCAATAACATCCCTCACCCCCGGAGGAACACAAAGCTAACTAGAAAAAAGCTGATGTGATGTGTGGGAGGAAGGAAAACAAAAAGCTTACTGGTACACGTTAGAGTCAGGTGCTGATAACCAGGACTTGAGCTGGCATGGGTGGCTCACACCCAAGCGCTGGGTACAACACACTACAGGTTAAAAGACAGCTCTGAAATCTACAGGGTGAGTTTTCACTGTTAGCTTGTTCAGAGCGCAATGTGAGCCGAAAAGGTTAAAAAAAGATTCAGCAAAACCTCTTCCCTCCCCTCCCCTCACCACCCCAAGTAAACTACACAGTAGTCCATTAAGTGGCAACTTTTAACCAGTCTTCCAAGCAAACCTTTCAATATGAAAAGGTGAGGGACACAGACACGGGGTGTTTCAAATCACTGCACACTGCACCAGAAAAGCTGCACAGGCAAAGCTTCGCTCACTGCCCCGTGTGACGTTCCAGCCGTCTTCTGAAGCTCAAAGAGATGGGAACATGCCCATGAAACACATGCAAAGCCTTCAAGCGGAAGGAGTTCTTGGTTTTATAGGGGGAGAGCTCAGCTGGGCATTAGGGGTATGAGTGTTATCTAAAGCAAAAGAACAGGTTGGCTGTTGTTCTGCATTGAATGTCCTGTTAGATACATCTTGTGAAAATACTAGGTTGAATGGGCCACGTGTAAGCATGGGCTCAGACATTCGCAAAGTTCCCCACCCTCCCCAATTAAGTTGCAAGCATGTGCTGATGACAGTTTGATGGCTGGATGTTATGGATTAGTCCCAGTGAGTATTATTGATTAATGGTGTAATTTAGATATCCATAAATAAAAACTGGATTTTCAACAACTTAAAGTAAAAATTTCTAGAAAGGCATCAATGTATTTGCTGAGTAAGGCGCTGAGCGGGTTCCTCCATGTTCTTAGCAAGACCATCCATGGTATCCATAAATAGGGGGTAGGAGGGGGCTTCTTGAACGTAGTGTGTCTTGGACAGAAGCATGAGATGTTCTCATTTTAGTCGCTCAACGAGTCCCTGCGTCAGTCCAAGGTGCAAAAGCTGAGATCTGGAGAGAGTTGCTAGATGAGGGAAATATTCCAGTAGCTTCTCCCACGACAGTTCCAGCAGACTGGGTACCACCAGCCACATTTTAAACAGAGAGCCAGTCCGTTTGTTTTCATGGATGTTGACCACCCCTCCGTGAACATACATGCAGCCGGCCTAGATGGGAAAAGGGGGAGAGGGGAGTTACATGGGGCTCAGACCAAACTGGCACACCAGAAGGTGCTGAGGAGCAACACAGACAGGAAAACCTGGATTTGACTCTCCAGATTCCCAGCTGGTTAATGGCAGAGCAAGATTAACCTCACACACCTTTATGTGCTGGTAACAGAAGTGTCACTGCCCGAGCCAGTCACCCTGGGCTCCTCTCATAGCCAAGGGGAGGAATCACTGCTGAAGGGCACGTGTCTCATCCTAAACCATGTACCCACTAGCTTAAGAGTGCTTTGCTCTGTATTTTAGGTGAATTCTACCCCAAGAAATCAATTTTAGGAGTGGGGCAAAGTGTTAATAAATTAGTATCGAACCATACTTAGGTTTCAGCTAAAAAGAACATTTTTTTTTTTAAACTAAAACCACACCATACAAAGACATGCTGCATTCCCTGCTCAGCATAACCCTGCTCCAGGAACACCACCAACACAGAGAGATGGGAAAAGCTCAGCTGCTGACCTATTCTGCGAGTGGCATTTTTTCAATACATAGGAAAAGAAAAGGCATTCCTGCTGTCCAGGCAGTCACCAAGCTGCCTAGGAAACACCTTTATCAGCCCTACAGTTTCTCAGAAAGAGTTGCATTTATAACAATCTCCAAACTAGGTAACACCTGCTCTTATAACCAAAGAACCTGATCTCCACCCTCGCATGCTGCCCTAAGGCGATGATCAGCTGAAGGAGGCTGAAGTCACAGCTAAATGCATTTCTTGCTGCCTGCTGCTTATCAGCCACAGGTCTCTAAGCTTCTAGTTACAGCAAAAAGCTCTAGCAATACCAATCTTGCCATTAGCAGTGGTTTCCAAAGAGGGCTGCTCCCCTGCTAATCCAGGCTGTTCTCAGTAAGCTAAAACCAGTTTACTTGGGGGAGTATTTGCACGTTTTCTCCTTTCACAAACAGGAACTGCTGTTCACACATAGAATTACTCCTTGAAGCTGATACGGTTTAAAAGCTTAAACTCCACATCACTGCTTTTAGAAAGCAGAATATACTGTGTGCTACCGCTCTTTAAACAGCAGCAGGAGTAAAAGGAGCCAAGGCAGTAACCTCACACCAGCCCTCAGAATGCCTAAAGATGCTGCATCCAGTGGAGGTCACCTCCTTGGTAACATTGGTTCAGCTCTATTTGCAGCCCACACAAACGTCAGAGTGCTTGAACGAATGGCTTGAACTTCAGCTACATAGTAAAGAAATGAGTCACTTACTGGTGTGACAGCAGCACAGTGAAAATACACTGGTTCCGGCATGGCAGCTGGGAGCTTGACCCACTGGAAAGTTTGCAGATTCAGCTTCCAAACATCTCCCAGAATCACTTCTCCATTATAGCCTCCACAAACAAACACATCTGTAAGAGAGGAAACCCATGGTGCTTACAGGCCCAGCCATCCTTCATCCAGCAATTGCAGAACATGCAGTGACTGAAGTCAGCGATCACCTTTCCAAAACAGCTTTAGGATCAACAATTATTTTACCTCAACACAAGCTCTCAGTACCTCTCAAATCAGTCCCAGCACACTATTCATAATCACAGAGGCCACTTATAGAATCACAGAATGGTTTGGGTTGGAAGGGACCTTTAAAGGCCATCACGTCCAACCCCCCCTGCCACGGGCAGGGACACATTTCACTAGATCAGGTTGCTCAAAGCCCCATCCAACTGGACCTTCAACACTTCCAGGGATGGGGCATCCACAGCTACTCTAGGCAACCTGCTCTGGTGTCTCACCGCTCTCACCATAAAACATTTCTTCCTTATGTCCAATCCAAAACTACCCTCTTTCAGTTTAAAACTGTTGCCCCTTCTCCTGTCACTATAGGCCTTGGTAAAAGTCTTTCTCCACCTCTCTTGTTAGCCTGCTGTATACATTAAAAGGCCACAACAAGGTCTCCCTGGAGCCTTCTCTTCTCCAGGCTGAACACTCCCAGCTCTCTCTACCTGTCTTCATAGCAGAGGTGTTCCAGCCCTTGGATCATTTCCATGGCCCTCCTCTGGACCTGCTCCAACAGGTCCATGTCTTTCTTTTGCTGAACACAGTACTGCACGTGGGGTCTCACCAGAGCGGAGCAGAGGGGCAGAATTACCTCCCTCAACCGGCTGGTCACACTTCTTTTGACACAGCCCAGGATACAGTCGGCTTTCTGGGCTGCAAGCACACATTGCCTGCTCATGTCCATTTCCCAGCCTGCCTGTGATCCCAGCCCCACCATGGCAGATTCAGAGCTAAATGCCGCTGAGAAGCAGGAGGGCAGTGCAACTCCCACTTTAAGAAGCTGTATTAAGCCCTAGCTAACCTGAGTTCATAAGTTCCTGGGTTTGATCAGATTCTAGTGGTTTTAAACCCATGGGGAGCAGCCACAGCCCTGGATCCTAGTCCTGCTGCCTGCCAGAGGCAGGTCCTTGCTCCCAGCTTTGCCCAAGTTCTCAACTCAGAGGCTTGCACTGCAGCAAAATACCGCTGATGAAGGCGACTGGAAGCATCTCCCAGCCCCTGCCTTACTTTTATTGGCACAATTAGCACTCCTAAGAAATATAATCTGGCATAGCACTCTTCTGCATGGCTCAGCACCCTTTAATATACAGCATTCAGTAATCGACCTGAAGAGTTTGAAAAGAAGGATCAATATTGTAACTGCTTCTTCAGTCCATTATGAGCAATTTGTTTTATCAAGTTTCGAGGAACGCGTTCTTGTAGGACAATGAGGCTATGGAGAGGCCCAAATCTAGTTGAAGGAACACTCTACCGTTCAAAATTGCGGGTAATTGAACATGGATTGCACATGAAGAGCCCCCTCTAAGCTATGCCTCAAACACTGCCGCACAAGTGATTTACAGCAAGAACATTTGGAGGATCAAAGTGAAGAACAAAAGGCTCTACTAAGCTCCGTGCAGCTTCTAACATATAAAATCACCCTCACTTTACTAGAGAATGGAAAGACTCAGGTGCTAACTCTGCTACCGCCTCATAATCCACTCCATATGAGCATCTCGGATTTACAACACCACGAAAAGGACCCACTATCAAAGACATCTCCGAACAACCTTGTCTCTAAAGAGCTTGGCTTCAGCACTTGGTCGCACTTTGCTTTTCACAGCGGACTGCAAAGCTAACAGGTTAGTCATCAAGCTGTAGCAAGAACATCATTTACACCTGTTTGTGAGCTTGCAATCAATAAGTTGCAAAGTATCATGGACACTCGTGGCTAAAATATGTGATATCTTACATTGTAGTGGCCACGTGTCCAAAGGAGATTTACGCGTTGCCTAAAATACTGCAGAATTCCAGAGAGCAACAGTACTGTGCAATACAGAAGTAAATCTGCCTACAGCAGCAAGATCCCTCATGTGAAGAGTGGTGCCAACTGGGCAGCTTAAGGCCTGTTAACAAGAAAGAAATCCTCTTCCAGAAAATACACGTGTGCCCTGCAGTTCTCACAAACATGTGTCAGAGGCCAGCATCTCTCAGGCTAGAAGGATGGGCTTGTCACTGCTAAGTTGTATAAGATATATACCAATTTTCAAGAGGCAGATCTTACCATTTTTTATCTGAACACAGCTATGGCATCTTCTGGCTGCTGGGAAGCCTGAGGAGAATAATAAAAAAAAAAAAGTATCAACTATAGTTGCTTTAAAGTGCTTGGGCAAGTGGTGATTATATCTCAACATAGAATCATGGATAGGAGTCACTTGTTTCATTTATAAGGGGCTTCTACTTTCATACAATCACGGGTATAACATCTCTACTTTAGCAACCAGCTGTTTCAGGTTTGACTCCTACTTGCTCTCCAGGGAAGGCAGAAATGTGCCAGAATCTCATTCCCCACAGACTCCAGCTCTCACCTCTGGCTTGGTGAAAAGCAGCAGCCAAGGGCCTACAAGGTTTCAGGGAAACCCCTGCTGCTAACCAGGCCAGCATGTGTTCCCTCAGAGGGAGCAGAGATGATGCATATCTTCTGGGAGGAGAGCCAGCCACTATCATCTTTCCCACCCAGGGAGGGAGAGAAGCCAGACTGCTAAATATGCTTCAGATGGGTTAGTCCTCACTGCTAAAGCTCTAAACAAGCAGGACCTCGAGGCCAGCATTAAGTCACGTACTGTACAACAAGGTTATGAAAAAGGTTTTCAGCCTGCCAGAAAACTGCATTTTCAAGCATCTTGGCCACTCTCTGGTTTACAAGGGAAGACAGGGGAAATTCCAGACTCACCAACTTTTTCATGAGGTTTTGTGGCAATTTCCTCCCAGGTGTTGGTTTCAAGGTTGTATGCATGGATCTGAAGGGACAAAGAGGAGCCATTACTTCCTCCTGGCTCTCCGAGCACCACAATGATGCAGTTGCTGGCTCTGACCCAGGGAGCCACTATAAACAACACCTCTTTTTCATTAAGTGTAAAACCAAAACCAGCTAATCGCAGCCAGTGACTAAGCAGGTATAAAATCACCTTCAAAGCGTACCAGCTTACTAAAGCTTTCATCTCACGCTTTGCTATTTGAGCCCCACAGCTGAAGAAAAAGAAAACTGCTTTTAAAAAAACTGGACCAATTAAAACCCACACCCTCCAGTTCTCAAAACTGTTTAGAAATACCTATCTCATACTGCACGTAAGGAGAAAAGAAATGCAGAAAATGGAGAGATAAAAAGTCACGTTAACTGCTGCAGTTTCAAGTTTTTTGGAAGTGGAGCACTATTTAAAGTGTCCTCATTTATCATTTTGGCATTCAAGATGAATTCACTCTTCCCTCTCCAAATTGTATTGGAGAAAAAACATTTACCACAAGAAAGGAAATTAAAGTATACCATTAAGGGAGAAGATAAGAAAAGAGTCACCGTATCAATATCTGAATTTAACACCAAGGAATTCCTTCCTTTGGTACTTTCCTGTTTTGGCACAAACACAACATTTAGAAATATGTCCTAAGTGTTTTTAAATGAGAATCTTTGATAATAGGTCTACAGAATGAAGCTGGTTTTCAGATCGGTATGGTCACTGGGTACCACAGATTCATCATCTGTAAGTCAACAGGACATGTTTGCAGCAAGATGAGGTTTTACAGAAATATGAGAACAATCTGCTCCTAGTTATCTATTTTTTTACCAAGCTCAGCTCTCCAGGCAAAGCGAGATGAAGAGACCATCCTGGTTATACTTCACTGTAGAAAATCTCCCATCCAGGCAAGCACTCAAAGTTCCCGATTGCCTTACCTTATCTAAGGAATAAGCTGTCCAGGAAGTTCCACCTCCCAAGATATAAATCCGTTGACCATCATGTGCGATTTCATGTCTGTATCTGAAGGTGCAAAGAAGGACGTTTAGCAGCACAAGCAATTACTGCAAGTGAGCAACAACAAAAGCCTTCTAGAAAACACTACCAAATTTGAGTGACTTAAGCAGACACCCCAAGCCTGGCTATGCTGTATCAGTCCCTCAGGTTGGGAGCATTCAGAAGATGTGGAAGCTTTCATGAGCAATCTAAGCAGCACCCCAGAAGCTTGCAAGGCATTTTCTGAGAGCAGAGCACCACGGAACTTAAGTACAGTCATTTACGGAGCACCACAACGGCCATCAATATTCCAGTCCCTTCTCTCACTAAGATGATCACTGATTGATCTCCCAGCCCTCCTTCCTCCATGCCTTGCTACAGAATAGGACAAGAGACAGGGATCAACAGGAGCCTCTTGCCCTCCTCAGCACTCACCAGCTGCCTCAAGTCCCCAGCTCTGTTCTGGCACCACACAGTCCAGATCAATGTCCTGGCAAAGGCTTCACACCCATCCCTACATCCCCCTGCACGCCAGACTGCTGGAGCACTGGTTGTGCAACGTTCACAGCTGAAAACACTGCTCTAAGAGCGCCCAGAAGCCTGTCCTTAAAGGTGGTGACTCCCCTGCGTAAAAGGTCTCTGAGACTGTCCAGCTTCTCACCTCTCCTCTGGCATGTCACATGACATATTGTTTGGTTTCAGCTGGATCCACTCTCTAGTGTTGAGGTCTAGCTTATGTAGGTCAGTACTGTAAATGTAACCAGTTGTTCCTCCAAACACGTAGAGACAACCATTGATAATGGCCATGGCCTGGAAGGTAACAGAGAGAAACCAGTCAGAAAGGACGTGCGACATCAGTGTCTGAAAAAGAGAGAACTCCCACCCTCCCAAAGCAAGACACTGCTTGCAAAGCTCTACCTACAACTTACAAAATGACACGTTCAGGAGGAATATGAAGGGCAAACAAGGATGATACACAAAAGATGGGGGGCGGGGGGTATCTGTAGGAAGGAAAAGTAACTCCGTGGTCACAAGATGAGGACCTAGAAGTGGAGCTGCTGAGTTTCAGGCATAGACAAAACAGATCTGTGCAGCAAGGGCTCCCAGGAGCTAAAACCAAAGCACAGTTAACCCTGAATCTCTTCCACGCTGACCTTAAACGGATACTGTTACAGAGAATCTTACAAACCAGCTATCAGATAGCCAGTGGCATTAAGCGTAACAGACAAAGCCCCAAACACAGTGGATAAGTCAGACTAAACAATAAAGACAGCCTGTACAATTCAAAAGCACATGGACTATCGGCCTACTGACACCGTGAAGATGGTGCAGGCACCATTCCCTGATGCAGTCCAAGGTGGAAGCAGAGACGTAAGCTCCTTCTGCTCCCAACTGCCTGTTTGCCAAAGGCCAGCTCGAGTTGAACTGGGCAAGGGGAAGATTACTTTCCTTCCTCCCTAAGTGTCTGGCGCACATCTAAATGAGAAATTAGTTGGGTTATAAATATCTGCACCACAAGTACATTGGCAGTATTATTGGAAAGCACAGCAAAAGCTGGCACTCCTCCTGTGAGCGTGAATCTAGTTTTTTGTGCACCATGCTCATCCAGGACATTATGGACAGTTTAAAAAGTTATTCTAATGCAAACAAGACCTACTAAACCCTGTTTTCATTTATAGTTTGGGGTTTAAAGGCTTTGAGGAGGCTAGAGAGCAACTCTAGGAACTACCAACCACTCCTTAAATCAGACATACTTTTTCATTCAACTGCACCTGACATTTAGTTAAATTTTGGCTTTTCTAACTACAAGAAAACTACACTTTTCCTTTGTAATCTCAAAGAACCAAGACCACACTCTGTTTCTTTACAAATGGTACCTGCCTTCCCTTACACTTATGTACATAGAGAACAACTCTGGTTACTAGCAGAGAAGAGATCTCCATGCTCTGGCCCCTTTTCTGTGACACACAGCGCAGCGTACGCAGGCACAGGCAAAGTGCCTCGACAAGGGATGTCCTTCATACCTGGCCATAGATTCGATTGGGTTTCTTTCCTCGGCAGCTGAGCAGAGCCCATCTTTTGTACTTGACGTTGCAGACATGGACGTCATTGCCGTTGCTCTCCCCAAAGGGGATCCCGGTGCCCCCGAACACAAGCAGGTTGTTGCCATGCAATACAACTAGGAGAGAGAGACAGAGCAGAGATACATGTTGCTGCAAGACATGGTAAAAGAGAACGACTCTCTGCTCTGGAGTCAGTAGGTAGAGAGTGTTCAATATTGTTCAAATACCCTACAATTCACACTATGTATTTGTGGCTTTGAAATGCTCTAAAAGAGAAAGAATGAAAGCTAAAACCATGGTAACCAAAGGCCTACTTTTAAAAATGGCTAGTGAACAAAGAGATCTATTTTTGGATGCTTTGAGACGTCTGATTGCACGGAGCACCTAGCTGCTGAAAGTGCAGGTGCCTTGCAACTATCAAGCTAAATACCTGGAAACTACCCCTTGCATTTGAAATTTTTTCTTTCCCTCTGCCTCAACCCAAGAGAAAGAGGAAAGAAAAATCACAAAACCAACCCAAACTCAAGGCCTACTCGCAGAAGAGTTGGTAACAGGATCCAGATTTCCCATTTCTTGCCTGGTTTTGCATTCCACCAGGGACATCGATTAAAATAGCTTCAGGAGTAGACACATAGGACTTGAATTTCCATACGTACGTGACATGGAGGCTAGTTCCCTGGGCATGTACCCTTCAGTGCCCATTTGATGCCAGGTGTCTGTAGCAAAGTTGTATCGCCAGAGTTCCCTGAAGAGCGGGTAGTCTTCATTCTCTGGCCCACCGGACTCATCGTAGTCAGGATTGTAGCCTCCAAACACATACAAGTTGGCACTATCTGCCACGCAACGATGGCCACTTCTTGCTGGTGGAGACCTATGGCCTACAGCAAAAAGAGAAGGTAAAACAGCTTCAGTTGAAATGCCAGCAGAGGAGCTGAGCTTGTGTCTGAGGGTCAGGACTACACCCACCGCGGTGGTCCTCCAACAAGAGTGGCTGGTGTTTAGCCATAGGGAAGCATGTCTGCAGCCAGGAGGAAACAGCTCTGTAATGACAGATCCACTTCTCCAAGCAGGAATGGGGAGAGCCTCTGCGTGTCACCATCTCACTCATGTCCCTGGACCACACCTGCCTAAGGAGGCTTGTCTGCAGGTCGACACGTGACAACCCTTCCATGAAAGCTATTTCCAAGATATCTTAAAAATTCCCCCTTCAATCATTCTGTATGGCAGATTTCACTTAGGAAACCGTTCCAAAATGATTATATTTAAAGCTGACTGGTGGGAACAAAGAAGAAAAGTAATGATTTGCTCTCTGTCCTACATAAACCTTCTCTCCATTTCTTCTCTTTTGCTCCTGGCACCTTGTATCTCAAGAAGGCTCTTTCACCTTGGACACCCATGGCTTCCTAAACATTAAGCAACACAGGTCTGATACAGCAAGTAAAATCTGCTCATAGGTAAAGGCATTTGCACTGGGAGGGAGCGCAGCAGGGAACCCATCTGAGATCCAACAGGTTAAGCTTGACAACTGGCAGACGCAGCCCTTCCCAAAAGGAAGCCCTCTGCCTACCCACCCTCTTCCCTAAAAGCCAATGGAAATAAAAGTGGGGAGGACAATTCAAGCTCAGACCTCAACTGGAATAGATAAAAAGACCAATTCAGTCCAGGAAAATCTAAACAGCAATATTCTTGTTGGACAACAGCAATTGAAGTCTCAGCTGACAAGTGATCAAAAAGTAATTCCGAGCTTGCTCGAATATGATGCACAGCAAGAGCCAAGCACAGTGCCAGACGTAGATGTTTTTCTTCAACAAGACACAGGACCACATAACGAATGAGGAAGATGAAAGGAGCAGAAAATGATCAGGTCCCTGAACAAAGGAGCTGGTTGTGAGACACATGTAGAACATCTCAAGCTGACTAAACCAGGAAGGTTTCAAAAGTCATTTTTTCTACGCAATACAACAGCTTTTTGGTGACAGTAACTCTAAGCCTCATCTTGAGAAGGAAGATAGATAATAGTCCCCTAAAATGTACAATTTCAGTGCATAACCATCACTCTCTCAAGCACATCCTCTGCTTGTTGCACCTCAAGACAGGCCCACTTTGGTTCAGTTGACAATAAAGAACAAACAAAAAAAACCATCAAAAGAAGATCTCCCGAAGAACCCCCACCGAAAGCAACCAGTGATCTTCACCACCCACCTGCTCTCATAGCTCTTTTACGGACTTTTAGGATGGAACAGGACCCAGTGAAGCATCTAATTAGGACCCATCGTGTTTTCTTCTTAGAGCTTGTTACAATTATCAGCAGTGAATCAGACATGTGGAGCAATAACAAATGAGGCATCAAGCATCTTTCCTACAGGAAAGGTGAAATAAATGATTTGTCCAGACTGAATAATGAATTTTAACTCAGCACAAGCAGCTTTGCTTAATCATGTTCCCCGTTTGCTGCTGCTGTAAGCTCCAACTCTAGTCCAAAATTAAGCTGCTCTACAGGGTTCAGACAAACTCCTTGTGGCTAAGTTTTGACAGATTTGGGTTGTTTCCAGTAATAATTGTGTCTCACAGCAATCCCCACTTAGAAAACTAATAAGCACTGGCTGAAAGAGAGGGGAAGAAAGTTAAGGAATTAATGGAAAAACCTGTAGTCTGGCCTGGCTACTGAGACAGCACAGTGCCATCGGGCACCCAGCGTGGCATGGACATTAGCGCACAGGAGGGGTGGATATTACATGTACTAACAGTGGCAGCCAGGAACTAGTGGTGGACTAAACTGTTAAAACAAATATTACGTGCTTTAGAGGTGATTCACAAAGGGAAAGAGAAACATCCATCCCTCTGGCCTTTTTTATTTTAAACTCTGAAACTATCCAAAGAGATGGATTCATTTTTAAGTGAACACATTGATAATAAAGGTATTTACAATCATGGTAATTGTTCAGACTCTTCTAATCAGAGATGCTTCGAGAGGGCAGTTCATCTGATCCTGAATATCTGCAAACAAAACCATGCTTGAGAAATGCCCATGCCTCTCTGCAGCCTATAGAGGATATCCTAGCGAAGGGCTCACGTGTCTGTGCTTGGCCAAAGGGAGCTCATCCTGCTTGTTTCTTCTTCTGTGTTTGCCCTGGAGGCCTCCAAAAAGACCTGAAAGAACTGAAATGGGAGCTTAATTCCAGCAAAGACTGGGAGCACTGATGCACACATTTTGCAGGGGAGTGAGGATTTAATTCAATCATCCATTGAATTTAAAAGGTATTAGGGAATTAGGAGTTCAAATATTACATTAAATATAGATCCTATTTCCCTCTAGTTATAACACTTGCTGTGAGAATTTTCCAGAGGAAAGAGAGAAGAATAAGGCTGAGTTTTCTATAAAGCCAACAGACTAAAGAGTAAGAGGCATAATTCAAAGAAAATAAATTAAAAACAAAACTAAGGAAGCCTTCTCTGCCATTCACCTCTCAAAATTAAAAAGAGAAGACACCTGACTTTGCCATAATGCCCCAGAACAGTTAAGTTTCAACAGAAAGGGATCAATGTTTGATGCATGCAGGTCCTCAAGATAGCGAGATGGGTACATTAAGCCCATACACAGCCCAGCTGGTTTCACCTCTTCCCATTTAGACAGAAACCCATCTCCTATCTTTAAAAGACGATTTTTTTCAAGATATTTTCAAGACACAGAAAGGGCATCAGAAGGCGGAGCTGGTGTCAAACAGATACTTGCAAGTACCCAACCGAGATGGTCTGAAAGGACCATCCTTCCCATGCAGCCATTCCCTGCCCATTCCCACTACTCTCGCCAACAACTCAAAGGGCTCTGTGAACTAAAGGAACGCATTTTTCAATCAAACACTCACTCAGTAACTGTCCTTTGTCAGAAGCTAGGGATCCTCGTGGCAGAGCTAGCAGAAGAAATGATGCCTGTCCCTGGTCATGCATTCACAACTCAGCTGCTCAGGGGAAATCCACTGTCCTCAGCATTAAGCTGAGCACCAAACCGTGGAGGAGAGCAGCTGAAATGCTTCCTCCTGCTGTGCCTGCTACGTGGCAGTGACTCCCAGGGAAAGGAGGGCTGGAAATGCCAACCAGAGCAAGGTTTCCAAAAGCTCAGGGCAAACCCCTGTAGCTACAAACTCATGCAATTTCATTTCACTCTGCTCAAGAACAACAGATTTTCTGCTCTATACAAGCAGACCCCAGTTGTGTTTGCTCAACATATAAGGAATAAGTTATCTCCAAAGGCTTCACATTTCCAGCCTGCTGGTTTTAAGCTCCGCTCTTCACTAACCCCTTCATCTCAATGGACTAGATCCTCCTGCTTGCAGAGGCCCAAAGAAGATGATATATCTACCCATAAAACAGGAAAAAAAATTATCCAACACATCTTCTGAGTCACCTACACCAGCACACTCGCAAATGTATGAATGAACTGAATGTTAAACTGAGTTAAATTGCCACCAAACTCTTCTATTCAGAATTGAAGTGACCTTAATTCACTTCAGAAGAAAGCCTTAGAAAAAGATTCCTCTAGTTATATCTTTTTAAAGAAAAGACCTGTAAAAGCTGAATCTATTTAAGAGTTAATTCAGATTAGTTTCTTCAGCAGACAAGCTCTATGACTTTTACCTCCAATAAAGAGCTGCATTTCCATTTAATTATGTTTTATCAGATGATTCACATTTCCTACTGAAATTCTTCATGCAAGTTTTGGATCTGCTTTCGCTTCAGCATTAGCAGTGCACAACAAGCCTATTACACAAGCGCAAACTTTAGATGGTGCAGGAAGATGGAAACACCCAAGGGTTTGCTAACTTCTTCCTCTAGTTAGCAAAGCCCATCTCCCCAAGAGCTGAACCTGCCACAGATTAAAGAAAGACCCAACACTAAGCGAAGCACAGCGAGACACCATCACAGTGAAAAGCTGCAAGTCACCAGGCCTCGCTATGAATTCTGTGACACTGGACATGGAAAGTAGCAGAACAACATACCAAGTCAAGACAGAACTGTGGGAAAGAGGTCGTAAAGCTAGTTATAGAAAATGGCTTTAAAGTGGATGGATATAATTTGGAAAGCACTCGCTTTCCCAATTTAAGACTCCAAAGTGAAACAGGAAGGAAGGATGGGAAGGTACAGTCACAAGGAGACCCCTTTTCCTTGGTCCTGAGGGGAGAAATGGGAACAATAAAACTTTCAGAGAATAAGAAGCTCCACAAACAGAGAGAAGTTGAAATATCATGACAGGAACATAATTAAGGAAAGTCCTAAATTAGGACCAAGCTAGCTGATTGAAACTTGCTTGCTGGCTATGCACTGACCTGTTAACACCCTGTTAAATTCACCCTTTTCAAGTGATTCATTGAGTGACTTCAGAGGGAGCTGCTCCGATGGCCCAGATTGACTTTGTTAAAGTGGATTCCTAATTGAATACCTCTCCTGCAAGAGGTATTATTAGAACAGGAGAGTAAGCAAAACAGCGGCATGAATATCTGTTCCCGAGTTTCCTGATGTGACACAGCACAGCAACCAATGCATGAGACATTCATTTCCTACCTCTCCAAAAACTTTGAATACAGAGTAGGTCTGGGGCGAGGAGGAGAAAACAGAGATGTTCATTAAGAAAATTAAAAAAAAACCTTTATTTTGGAGGAGAGAGCATAATGGTCCTGAATAGTGTTCAACAAGACTCCCATTCAAAATATCCCTCTTATGGGGAGGACAAAGCTGAATTGCACCTGCTGGTCCATAAATACTGCTCCTGTTCTAACACAAACTTAAAAGTTTATTAAATTCCAGCTCTGGGGCCTTGACAGCTACAGAAATCTATGGAAGGCCTGGAGAAAAAAAACCAACATAAAAATCCCTTGGTACCAGCAGATTACTTGAAGTTACAGAGCAGATTAAATGCTACCAGCATGCCCAGAACCACAGCACATGTCAACGGCTATGCTCAAGTCTACTGGATTTCTCTACCACTTTTCAATAGCTCTATAATAAAGTTATAGAAGAAAATTAAACTGTGAAGTACCAAGTGGTTGCACTGATTCACATGCAGTGCAAATGTAAGGTGAGAGGCGCTTCAAACAGAGCAGCACAAAGTCAAGTTTCGAAGAACAAAGACGTTTTCTTTCCATTCGATTATCCTCCCTTTCATGACTGCAGGAAAAAAAATGCTGGCATCATCTCACTGGCTAGGTTAAACAAGAGGGGAGTAGCCGCTATTTGAATTAGTAAGTCAGCCAGCTGGGCTTTTTTTTTTTAAATAAGAGGGAGGAAAAAAGGTCTAATTAGCCAAATTAATTTCTTAAAAATAAACAATGAAAGAGTTGAATATGAAGTTTTGAGAGCCTGCCTGAAACCATCCTTTTTTTTTTTATCATGACCATGGTGCCAGAGAAAAACCAAATAAATCTATTAATCAAGGAGAAGCTCTTGGCAGAGGGTGAGGTCTGCCTACGCCATCAGGTACTGCAGAATTTGATTTTTCTTTTTAAGGGAATTTTCCCTAATTGCTACCATGCCTTGTTACCAGTTCCCGGCAAACCAATGCAGTGCTGTTCTCCCAAGGTGGCAAATCCACAGCTGCTGCCTCCCTTTCCCAACCAGCCTTGGAAGGAAGAGGCCAAGGGTCTGGGCTGTCCCACCATCTGCTCAGAAACCTGTAAGCAGAAAGGAAAAGAATGACCCCTGTATCATCCCTCACTAGGGCCGGTGTGAAGCTGAGCAGTAGCCAAAGCAACCTGCAGCAGAAAAAATGATTCCTGGATCCTTTGGGAGCAAAGAAGATGAGGTAAGAGAAACTGCTAACCTCGCGCTTAAAAGGCAACTCTGGAAATGGAAACAGGTCAAGTTCTTTTGCCATCACAGCTACCAGAAAGAGACTTGGCTGTAGCTAGCAGAAATGGCAGGAGCAGGACTAAATAAACATACTCTTATTGCAAACACATACCCTTTCCCCATGGGTTACTGCCTTGGAGCTGCAACTGCAACGACTTTCCAGCTTCGGGATGCCTCATTTCTAAAGTCTGCCACGCACTGTTGCTTGCTAAGGGTACAAAAAACATCCTTTTGCAGAGTCAGATCAGCTGACTCCAAGCCGCAGGTGTCAATTTTAAAGTTTTGCCTCTTTATTCTTTCAGTCTTAAAGGATCACTAAAGATCCATCTGAAATTGGAGCACAATTATAAAGTTTTGACATGCTGCTTGCCCCATTCCAAGTCACTGAATTACAGAAAGATCCTAACAACACAGCAGTCAAAGCATTTATGATTTGTTTTTCCATGTACTGCTTGCTTGTTTCATGCAACCATTTTACTGCTTGCTCATCTGGCCGTTTAAAGACATTGCCGTTCACAAAAAGGAAAGCACTTAAGATAAAGACAACAGAAATTACAAAGAACTGTCTATTCCATTCAGAATACACAGGGAACGATCCTCAAAGCCCAAAGCAATAATTAAAGGCCAATGTGAAATGTTTCACTCAAATCTTGGGGTCATGTCTGACCCCAAGAATGTGTATTTTCCTTACAGCACATGGCCTTCTCCATAGAAACAGCAAATCCCTGTTTTTTTCTTTCCCTTTTGCCCAGCTCATGTTAAAGCAGCCAAAAAGCAAAGGAAAAGAGCACGATCGAGATCCTGCCAGTAGTGGATGGAGCCAGGGGATGCTCTGGCATCTGGATGCTCAGTTTGGTGCAGCAGGGAGGCAGTCGCTCAGTGCGTTTTTTTTCCCCCTGTAAAACAAACCTTCCTGGGCACTCAGGGGAATCAGTGAAATGTATTCATCTGGTATCAGCCTCTCAGAAGATGTACAGGCTCCAGATCATCTCACGCAGGCGACCCAAGTTAAAAAGGATGACTGGTCTCAAGTTCACGGTTTCAACACAGGAGGTGAGACTCAGGGTCAGAAGAAACGCTTGGCTTCTAACCTTCAGAAAAGAATTTTATCCAATAAAAGTTGCCAATGTTTCTAAATCTCAAGGACAAGCAACCAGTTTGTTTTTTTCCCAACCAAGATGCATTTGGAGAAAACAGTTTACATGTGCAGCATATTTTTTATCAACAGATCAAGCTTCAAAGTTCTTTAAATATTTGAAAATTAGGAAATAATGGCACATGAAAGCTTACAGATTCCTATTGCTAAATGAAGTTTGTTTCAAACACACAAAAGACCATTTATTAAGATGACCCTAGTTCAACCCTAAGTTCACAATGGCCATCCAAATGTTTACAACCAACAGTACACACCCTTTTTTAAGCTAGCTATTTAGAGCATCACCTCAACCACACTGCACAACATAATGCCAGGTCACCAATAATGCATGTGATTTACCAAAACTTATCCGAGCAACAGCTATCAGTGTTCACAACACAGTGTGGCAGCTGTGTTTTCATCTCCAACGCGTGCTCAACACAGCAGGCAGGATAAAGAGCAGACCTACTGAGATGATAGCACGCTTCTGCCAAGTAATTCTGCTTTGCAAAAGTAAAGATTAAATGCTGCTCTACCTGTAGTTCCTTGAGCAATATTATACAAGACAGAGCAAGGGAAGGCAGCCGTCCCATGGCATAGACAGAAAGCATCTGGACTCAAGCTTTCATTGTAGCACTCACTAGCTAACGCTGTGCAAGCTCCCAGTTCATTCCTTGAACAAAGCAGTATCATTTTTCTTGTATAATTTGATGGATTAGAGCTTGCCATGCACATCAGGTAACCTGAAACAGAACAATGTTGAGGACCTCATCCAGTTTAACATTTGGAGCTGGCAGGGAAATAAAAGCAAGGATCACATTCTGCCAGGCTACAATAGGAAAACTCAGCCAAAATAGATTGCTAGCACAAAAAAAACAGATTCCTGGGCTGCAGTCAAAGCACTGGTGGTTTTAATATACTGAATTTTCATTCTGGTTAAAGACTTGCATCTAGAGAGATGTTCCTCCTAGAACTACAGGACTACTTCCTATTTTGATATTTACTGATGAAAACTAATTGCAGGTACAGCCATGAATCCTCTTCATTTTATGTGTGGCTCAAATCAGGATTTGAAGACTATGCTAAAGTATTTTAAATCAAGCCCTTCTTTCCCTCTCCTCCAGACCACCTCGAGAAAGCACAGTTTTATTTATTCCTGGAGCATAACCAACAGATATCCAGGCGTAGCCTCAAACACCTCCCAGAGCAGCAAGCCCAGCACCACCCGTTATAAGCTTCCTTTTTTCTCAACCTATTTTAATCATGACATCCACCAGAGGGTCATTTGCAAAGTGAAAGGTGCAATAAGTTAGTGCAACAAAACTCTGTGAGATCTTAGGAAAGGGGAGGGTGATCTTATTTTACAAAATATTTACATAAGGTGGTTCTGGCCACTCAAACCCACAAGAACCAAGTATATCCAAGTAATCCAGCCAGGATCACTTACATACAGCACAGAGGGTGAAAGGACGACAGCTGCCAAGTCCTCGCTACAATTCCTGGGTTGTTCTTCATTTAGAAGGACAGACTAGTTTTGGACAGGTCTTTTATACCCTCTGGCTCCTATGGCGAGATGCTTTGACCTCAAGAGTTTTGCTTCCTTCTGCTTTCACGAAGTTTAGGCAGTTCTGCTGCCTACTGTCTGCGCCTCCTCATTCTGAGTTTCTTAAAGTTCTTCCTGTCAGGCTAACAGGAAAAGGAACGGCACAGGCACTGAGCTGCAACCGCATGGACTTTGTCCTGTAATCAAGGTGTAGGGTCTTCCGCTTGCAAGACCTGCCCCAAATGTGCTGGCTTTTTCCATCAATCTGTGATCTTCAATCCTACTAATCCCAGTGTGAGGCTTATATTTGGCCACAATATTATTAGCGTTACTAGTAGCAATATAATTTGTATTTCAAGCACAATTTTTGGAAATATAAACTAAATAACTACAGGATGTAAAGCTAACGAATATAGTGTGGCTTTTGGTTCTCATCTTTTCAAAGTAACATACCAGTGGTGAATAGCTAAGGTGTGTGTACACATCCTCTTTACCGCTTCTTAAGGTTTTCTAAGGAGGGTATCAGTATTATTTTCCCTCCTATCTAGTTTTTCCAACATCCAGAATAGTAGGTTTCAGTATCTCCCTTTCCACTTATGATTTCTGCAAGACTTCTGAAGGACATTTAGGTCAAAGGCTGAAGCCAAAGCGCTGCTGGCTCTTGGGAGAGAGAACAAGACAAGTCAATATTGACTTTGACTCCAGTCTTCAAAGCTTCATCTTTTTCATACCAGCCAGACAAAATAAGTTTGTAACTCATGTAATTAGAGTCCCTTACAAATGTTTGGATAAGCAGGATGTGAACATGTCGCCGAGAACAAGGTTTAAAACCTGTTTGTTCATCCAGCTGCGTTAAGCCTCCTCAGATCACATAGCTCTTTTTTGTGGCAGGCTGCCTGTGCCCAAAAAATACCCAAGAGAGAAAGCAGCAGTGCCTGTGTCCCCGACACCTGAGCGACAACTCTGCCCAGGGTGTCAAGGGCAGCTGGGAGAGGCCAGAGGAACCAGCCAAGGATGCCAAACACAACCTACAGGCCACCGGCCAAGACCCTTTCAAATATTTGAAGTCTCTAAAGAAGCATTTCTAAGAGAATGATCATTCTCACATCCAGCTGTGAGAGCTTTCGGGTTTGGATTGATGTCCAGAATAGGTCTGCTTCTTCATCCTGCTTCTCAGAGGCTTTTGTTTTCAAAACTCTTTGTAGCAATCACGTATTTTGAACATTTCTACAAGTGTGCAATTGATTGTCAGTATTTCCCATGATTAGTAAAATAGGAACAGGATTGTAATACATGAGATAGCATCCCAGAGCAGAGAATAAAATAAGGAGTCCTTCCGAGTGGACTGTCCTTACTGAGAAACCAGAACAAAAGAGGAAACATATGCCCCAGAAATTCTATATTACAGATTTTATACCACTAAAACTGAGTGTTCCTTGGGTTGTTTTGGTTTTTTTAAAAAACGTAAAAGGAAAATAAAGAAAGGAATTCTGGAAAATGAGAACCATAGAACAGCCCAGGTTGGAAGGGATCGGGAAAGATCGTCTGGTCCAACCTCTCATGGGAAAGGGAGCCAACATGTGATTATTCAGCACCTTGTCCAGTCACATCTTGAAACTCTCCAGCAACAGGGACTCTACCACATCCCTGGGGATGTTGTTCCAGCGAATTATTGTTGTTACTGTAAAAAATGTCTTTCTTACATTGAGATGAAACTTCTCCCAGTGCAACTTGTACCCACTGCCCCTTGTCTTCTCCATGTGGCTCCTTGTGAAGAGAGACCCTCTGTCCTCTTTGCAGCTGCCCTTTAAGTACTGGAAAACCATGATGAGGTTCCACCTGAGCCTTCTCTTCTCCAGGGAGAAGACACCTGACTCCTTCAGCCTTTCCACATAGGGCAGGTTCTCCAGCCCTCTGACCATCTCCTTTGGACCGTCTCCCATCTGTCCACGTCCTTCTTGACTTGTGGGGACCAGAACTGGACACAGCACTGAGTAGAACAGGATGATCCCATCTCTCTCTTTCTCTGCTAGTAATGCCCCTGCAGATGCAGCCCAGGTTCCGATTTGGCTTCAGGCTTGTTCCCCCACATGACACAAAGGGATTCAGGATATTAGGGTTTTCTGTTGTATTTTTTTTAAAATACATATTAGAAACTCTGAACCTCTCCATACGAAAAAACCACCTCTACTGTGACTGGTACACTGGGAAAATTATAGCTTAAGACAGAGCATAAATGCTGAGCATGCGAGAAGCAAAGATATATTTAGGTTTCCAGATTGTTTCTATCCACTTAACCCCAAGAGCCTGATGAAAACAAAGAAATTTAAATGTGGACATGATGATTTCCAACGAGGAGAAGAACAAACTGCACACCACCTATATTTGACATTTTTGATCTTTCTAAAGCTTACAAACACCTAAAAATAGCTCCTTCCTTTCCCTTATCCAACACAAAATTTTAGATGTTTAAAGAGTCTTTACCCATCACGAGGCAGCAAAAACACGAACAGCTTTTTTTTTTTTTTTTTGAGCTGTTAAGCCATCAACGAGACTCTTTTGTAGACACTGCTTGAGAAATGCCCCTATTGAGAAACCCTCGATAGAAACAGTCCGCTTGAGAAAGCAAACAGAGCAGCACAACCCTGGCACCAGCTCCCGCTAGCTGCCTGCTTACCTTTCGTAATCACTTCCCTGTACTCTCCAGAGTAAAAAAGGTGACAAAAGCTTAAAACCTTTTCTACAAGTAGGTGCAAAAGAAGAACGTGACAAAAGCAGCATGTAAGTCAAGATGTATGCTCTTCTGTTTAACCAAGAGACAGCCCAGATCTACTTCAAACCACACACAGCTTAGCAGGAGCAAAAGAGCTCTGCAGGGAGGGATGTAGTGAACACATCCAACACCAAAGCATGCTACAAGTTCTTTGCGTGCTTTCACGACAGTAATTACTTGTAAAAACAGGATTAAAAGGAGATAGCATGCCTTATGGACAAAGTCTAGGGCATTGAATGGTGGGGAAAACAAAGGAATGCCTCCTGGAAACTCTGAAAGGGAACTGGGAGGTAAGAAGACAAACCTGGTTGGAGGAAATGGAAGGAGGGGAAAAAAAATATTCCTCTGTCTCAATGGTTATGTAAGGGCTGCTGCTGGAGCTCTATAAATAGCACATTAACAGGTGTCGAATGGGGAGAAAACTCCAGCAATCGACTCAAACAGGATTCTTCCATCAGGCAGTTTTTCAGCAAGATCGACAATCAGCTTCAGGTTTGTTAAGGCTGGACTTACGTGCTAAGGCTGAGCTGAATGGGGGCATTTTGTACCTGGGGCTGCAGCATCCGCCCCTGAGCAGGTGGTGGAGGGCAGGATTCCATGTCGGGCCATAATTGGTAGCCAAAAGTGGGATCGTTACAACCGCGTCAGGAGGACGCGCTACCAGCTTGCTCAAGCCAATGATTAAAATTCAGGAACATGAAGATAATCAGTTCTTGTGTTACCAAAAAAGGCCTTTATCACAGAAGGAAGGAAACATGTTTGAGAATTTGCCCAAAAATAGAAAGCGTGGAGCCACTTAGCAAATTCACAGTAGTCTTGCACAAGGCTCGAAGGCGTCTTTGCTGCAGATCTAGACAGGTTTCACAGGGATCGAAACGTGGACCCTGGTCTGAAAGCCCATTCCCCGCTGCTGCTGGTGCTCCAGACACACCAAACACAGGCTCCTACCCCTGAGGCAGCAAAAGGCTTCACATCCTCCATCGAGGGATCTGAGTGGCAGGGCCAGGGGCAGCCAGGGCAGAAAAGGATGCCCTGGGCCTGGGGTACCCACCTCCTGGGTGGCAGCACCCCAGCACCATGTGGCCCTTGAGGGCAGGGGGTGCTATGGAGATAAGGAAGGGGGGGCATACCCCAAACCGATTGGGAATCCCCCCATCACAGAACCATGGGGTGCCCCACGTCCCTCCCAGTATTGCTGAACTGCTCGGATGGGGGTGATCTTCCCAATCCTGCGACTGTGGGTTAACCCTGGGCTCCTCCCCCTAGTATCCTGGGGCTGTTGGGGTGGGGTAATCCCCCCACATACCAACACTGCTAAGAGGAAGGTGGAAAACAGAAAGAACCACCATTCCCAGGTCACGCGACTGGGCTGACATCTCATCCAAGGTCCCTCTGGTAGCCTGGACCCCCCAGCCCAGGATCATCCCTCCCAGGACTGTGGGGCCCCCCACCCCAAAAACCTGATACGCTGGGATTGGGGAGGGAGGAGGGGGGGTGACCATGGGTTAGCCCAGGCCCATCCAGGATCACAGGGCTGCTGAGATAGGGCTGATCTCCACCAAGGACCACAGGGTACCCTGTGTCGTCCCCCTCCCCATGTCCATGGGGATGAACCACCCGTGTGGGTCATCCGAGCATCCCCAAAAAAGCTGAGACTGTCAGGATGGGGAAAGAAGAACGGCCGCCCCCTAGAGTCGTAGGAGAGGGGTAACCCCCCCCACTCCTCAAGACGATGGCTCCCCTTCAACACCCTAAAACCGTTTGGAAACGCGTGACAGCCCCATCCGCAGCTCCAGGACCCCTTATCCCGGGACCGTTGGGACGGGAGCATCCCGGCCCTCCCTACACCATCCCCGGGGCCTTTGG